GTGGTCAACTGGAAAAATGTTTCTACGCTTATGGTCGACACTATAGTCAAGACACTAAAAGAATGAGTTTATGTTCAGCAGTAGGGGACACCAATGTACTGGGAAATCTATGGGGTGGAGGAAGAATTCATTTATGTTCCTATTACTATATGTCCCTACTATAACCCGGGATACCTAATACGCAGTAAGCAATGCTCTGCGTATGCATACCGGTGTAACTCAGCTGTTGTAGCAAAACAATTTGTTAATGTTTTGTTGAATTTAAGTTAACGATTATTAATTTTTTAACTTCTTGTTGAGTGAAATAAATTATTTTTTAATTTCATGAATTTCAAATATATATTCAATGGTAGGACTGGAAGAACGTACCACGCAATTTGTAGGACAATGTGACTGTTAAATTATATAAATATTAACTAAGTAAAAAAAAATCAGCTGGTTAGTAATCATTTATGATGACCTTATTATCGGTACATGTTGGAAAGACGGGACTCTTTGATCAAACCATAGATTTTGTAGGACAAATATTTTTTCAAATAGTTTAGGTAATTATCTTGAGATTAAACAAAAAAAAAACCACAGTTAGTAATAAATTTTTGAGAATCATCAAACCGACAACTTTTATCGTTGCTACCACAATCAAAGTTTCTTACAAGAAGTTGTTGGGCGTCTCGTCAAAATGAAGCTACTCACGGAAAATTAGCTTGATAGTAATCAAGTTCAAAAATGTACCAGGGATCCTGGACTATCTATCTCGTAGGGTTCAGCCAGCGTTTGTAATGTAAGCGCAAAAATGTGTTTATTTACGATATCACATTAGAAACCTCTAAAATTATCAGTGTTTCTCTACTATATTATGCATGTATTATACATATAAACCTTCCTTTTGAATTATTCTATCTATTAAAAAAAACGCATTAAAATCCGTTGTGTAGTTTTAAAGATCTAAGCATACATATGGAGAGACAGCGGGGGAAATGCGTTACATGATTTCGTTACGTAGCAACTCGCATGAAACGAACTTACCCTACCGTGCGTAAAGAAGTTTCATTTCAAAAATGCAAATCACATAAATACCTACTTATGCATACATTTTGTTTATATGCCTAACCACGGCACCATTTATTTTATTAGTTTCGCTTTTATTTGCGGTTTTGAATTAACCAGCAAAAATTGCAGAACATTTCTTAAAAATGCATAATCTAATGCTGGTCAAGGTTTAATTGCATCAGTGTTTCCCATGAAATGAAATGGATTTAAAAAAGAACTGATATAAAGGAAATTATAATTTGAATACTTGACAAACATGCAAATAATACTAGTATTGGTCGAATGCACACAACCGTATCAAGATTAATTTGGCTTATATTGTAATAATAGTTTCAAGGTTAACAATAATTATGACATCTACTTATATTTATCACTTTAGAAAATAATATTAAATAAACGAAATGTTCTAATTAATGCTAAACGTATGTAAAATATACATAATTTTGGGTTTTATTAGTTTATTTACAGGTAGACAGACGCTTAATGCTCTCATTAGAATTTTAAAGTCATCATTTTTACCTACATAAAAACCAAAGATGCGCAAATAATTCTCAAAAAGTTGTAAACTGTAATTTGATATGAAAATAAAATAATTTAGAGACCGAAAAATTATTTCATTTATTTTAAAGCTCAAATTATTATCTTTTGGTATTGGAAAATGAAATGTGTAACTAAAAATAAACAGTTTTAGGTATGCAAAAAAAGATAGGGGACAAAAAATTGAAAGAAGTCGCTAATTTTCAGTATCTAGAGTCAAACAATTCAAGACGGAAGGAGGAGTAGAGATATAAGACAACGGATGGCAAAGTGTCGAGTCGACCTTAAAAAAAGGTTACTCACTTCAATGTTACCGAATGGTTAATTTAGAATTTCGAAAAAGATTGTGAAAGGTGTGGGCCCGAAGGCAAAGAAAAGGTTAGAAGCATTCTAAATGTGGTGTTACAGAGTAGAAAGAAAGAAAGAGTAGAACAGAGTGCACTATGGAAATCAATAAGAAATAGGCGAGTTACCAAGAGGAGTAGTTGTACATTCTGTCAAGAAAGTACCGGAAACTCCCGTAAATGGGATTGTCGAAATTCTTTCTGTTAGTACAACTGTCCCATATACTCACGCAGAGTTTGAACGTCACTTGTCATTTATTTTGTTTACAGCGCGCATTTTGTTGGTTCATTTTGTTCTGCGATTTTTACAATTGATAAAAATATTGAATAAATAATCTGTCTTAAATTTTGCATGGCAAATAGAATTTCCAGTGCCGAAGCGCTAAAAATGTTACATAAGCCTTACAGTGAATTGGCTTAATCAAAACATATGTATATGAGTGGTACAGTGGATTTAAAAACTCTCGAGATGTGGTGGAAAATTTGCCTCGCATTTATAAAACAAACTATAACTGGTGATGAAACATGGGTTTATACGTTTGACATGCAAACCAGTCAACAAGCTTCGTAATGGCGCCTTCCAACTGAGCCGAAACCAAAAAAAGTATGTCAAAGTCGATCAAAAGTGAAGGTGATGTTGAAAGTTTTTTTCGATTACCACGGTTTTGTGCACTCAGAATTCTTGCCAGAAGGCAATACAGTTGATAAACAATATTATCTGATCGTTATACGGAGGTTGAGAGAGCAAATTGGTCGAAAAAGACTAGATTTGTGGAGAGAAATATCATGGATTTTGCACTACGATAACGCACCATGCCACAAGGCTATCATTGTGAACGAATTTCTCGCCAAAAACTCCATAAATTTTATCGAACAGCCACTGCATTCCTCTGATATGCACCAGTTGAGTTTTTTCTTTTTCAAAGACTTAAATTACCACTTCGAGGCAGCCGTTTTCAGTCGATAGATGACCACAGATAATTCGCGGTGAATACTGAACTCGATTCCAAAACATGCATTTAAAAAGAGCTTTGATGATTGGATTATTGTTCTAGCTTAAGGGAAATGAGAAAAATTAGCACAATATATGAAAATCTATAGGTGCGTGTCCAACCAGTCTTACGATCAGCGAACGGCATGGTCCATGTTTTTCTGTGGTTTCCTTAGATCATTTAGGCAAATGCTGGGGCAGTAATATTCCACAGATAAATCTTTCACTCTTTTCTGTATTCATTTCATTCTTCTAATCTTTCTCACCCCAAGCATCATCCACCTATTCCCACTATTCAAAAGGAGGCTGATGAGAGCCTTCTGGCATAGTCCGGAGGGACTCCTCAACCACCAGCAATAATAGAACCCAAAGTTTTCTTAGGATCGATAATCCATACAAAAAGTCATTGGCTACATCTTACTGCTCAGCAGACGACTGAGTACAACTTGGGGGCGCTCTTACGGCCTGCGCCGTACATTAACCACTATATTAGTTTTTTACGTTACCGAACGGCGTGGCCTAGAGGTTTAGACCATTGCTTAGCATTTGGGAGGACGCCGGTTCGATTCCGGGACCGTCTGCCTTGGTTCAAGTTTTTCTTGGTTCACTAAGACAAATGCTAGGTCAGTAACATTCCACAGTTAATATTTCATTCTCATTTCGTCCGTCTCATCTTTCTCACCCGAACCGCCACCCACTCATTCCCACGATTCCGGAAAGGAGACTGAAGGGGATCTTCAGCCCTACCTTTAGGCGTACTCCGGAAGGACTGCCCGCCCACCAGCATTAGTAGCTGGTGGAAATGAAACACCCAAAAGTTTAAAGTTTCTTTTCTGTTGTGTTAGGTTAGGCTAATTTAGTTTTTTGTGTATATTTGTTTGACTTCATTCCGCATCCAAAATAAATAGTCAGGACCGATTTAAAGAGAATAAGAAAGTAAAATTGAATGTAAATATGAATACGTAGGTACTTACAACATGTAAAAGTTGAAGTTCTTTAGGATCATCGTTTATTACACGTGCATTAATTACAGAAATTGTAATCAAAATGGTTACAGCAACTGCTCCTACTATCATACTGGACACCAAAGTCCTCTTGGAGGAAATCTGTAAAAACAGAAATCACGAAATTGGTTTACACAGAACTAGGTAGGTCTAATGAAGATATTTAATGCACTGAGTCACAACTTCTAATCTACTGTACTTATACGTTACGATTAATAATTATATCAGGTACTTTTTTTACTTATATAACGATGCCGTTTTTGCAATCTTTTGTTTAGATTATACAGCTGATAATTATTAACACCAATTAACATCACTAATTATACATATAGACGGTAGATAAAGGTACACAAATAATTTTAAAATATTCTAATAATACTTAGATTGCTACTTGCAGAGAACCTTATGCCAAAGGTTACATTTTTAAATGAGTATTTACGTTTAATCGTCTAATTGCAGTGTAGTATCGGTAAGATGTTTTATTATGCAGCTGTTATGAAATTATTAAATATTTATTAAATTAGAGGAGTACAAAGATCTATCATTAACTTATTATTGAAGGAGAAATAATAAAAACTAATTATAAGAAGTTTATTTATGTCTGTATAATTTACTTTTAGACTTCAGACCGTATTCCAAAAGAAACGCTTCCAAAGTATTCCAGCAAAAGTTGCAGGAGTAATACAAATGTTCGCAATCGCAGGATAAAGGGCAAAGCCGCCCGGTATATTTTGGTTTTCCGGCGGTTCACAAACAATTTAACTCAAACGTCCACTTGTTTATAGACAAATTCGCAAAATCTGAATATATTTATATAGGGTTGTTCGGAAAGTCATTTCGTTTTTTCCCGACAGAGGATTTAATTGTATTCTTTTGGACCCACTGTCCCATATACTCACGCAGAGTTTGAACGTCACTTGTCATTTATTTTGTTTACAGCGCGCATTTTGTTGGTTCATTTTGTTCTGCGATTTTTACAATTGATAAAAATATTGAATAAATAATCTGTCTTAAATTTTGCATGGCAAATAGAATTTCCAGTGCCGAAGCGCTAAAAATGTTACATAAGCCTTACAGTGAATTGGCTTAATCAAAACATATGTATATGAGTGGTACAGTGGATTTAAAAACTCTCGAGATGTGGTGGAAAATTTGCCTCGCATTTATAAAACAAACTATAACTGGTGATGAAACATGGGTTTATACGTTTGACATGCAAACCAGTCAACAAGCTTCGTAATGGCGCCTTCCAACTGAGCCGAAACCAAAAAAAGTATGTCAAAGTCGATCAAAAGTGAAGGTGATGTTGAAAGTTTTTTTCGATTACCACGGTTTTGTGCACTCAGAATTCTTGCCAGAAGGCAATACAGTTGATAAACAATATTATCTGATCGTTATACGGAGGTTGAGAGAGCAAATTGGTCGAAAAAGACTAGATTTGTGGAGAGAAATATCATGGATTTTGCACTACGATAACGCACCATGCCACAAGGCTATCATTGTGAACGAATTTCTCGCCAAAAACTCCATAAATTTTATCGAACAGCCACTGCATTCCTCTGATATGCACCAGTTGAGTTTTTTCTTTTTCAAAGACTTAAATTACCACTTCGAGGCAGCCGTTTTCAGTCGATAGATGACCACAGATAATTCGCGGTGAATACTGAACTCGATTCCAAAACATGCATTTAAAAAGAGCTTTGATGATTGGATTATTGTTCTAGCTTAAGGGAAATGAGAAAAATTAGCACAATATATGAAAATCTATAGGTGCGTGTCCAACCAGTCTTACGATCAGCGAACGGCATGGTCCATGTTTTTCTGTGGTTTCCTTAGATCATTTAGGCAAATGCTGGGGCAGTAATATTCCACAGATAAATCTTTCACTCTTTTCTGTATTCATTTCATTCTTCTAATCTTTCTCACCCCAAGCATCATCCACCTATTCCCACTATTCAAAAGGAGGCTGATGAGAGCCTTCTGGCATAGTCCGGAGGGACTCCTCAACCACCAGCAATAATAGAACCCAAAGTTTTCTTAGGATCGATAATCCATACAAAAAGTCATTGGCTACATCTTACTGCTCAGCAGACGACTGAGTACAACTTGGGGGCGCTCTTACGGCCTGCGCCGTACATTAACCACTATATTAGTTTTTTACGTTACCGAACGGCGTGGCCTAGAGGTTTAGACCATTGCTTAGCATTTGGGAGGACGCCGGTTCGATTCCGGGACCGTCTGCCTTGGTTCAAGTTTTTCTTGGTTCACTAAGACAAATGCTAGGTCAGTAACATTCCACAGTTAATATTTCATTCTCATTTCGTCCGTCTCATCTTTCTCACCCGAACCGCCACCCACTCATTCCCACGATTCCGGAAAGGAGACTGAAGGGGATCTTCAGCCCTACCTTTAGGCGTACTCCGGAAGGACTGCCCGCCCACCAGCATTAGTAGCTGGTGGAAATGAAACACCCAAAAGTTTAAAGTTTCTTTTCTGTTGTGTTAGGTTAGGCTAATTTAGTTTTTTGTGTATATTTGTTTGACNGAATAAGTTTGTGTTCTGCAACATTCTAGAACGATCGAAAACATTAAATAATAAAAGGCAACCTGTCATTGTTAAGAACAATCTTGAAAATTCTGGTACTATGTTATATAAACCGAAATTCAGTGACTTTTCGTCAGTTTGATCGTGTTTGCAAATCAATTGAAATTGACAATGAACAGTAATCAAACAAAACAAAGTGATTTTGACAAATGAAAAAGAACAAACTATTTCATTATTCTACAGTGATCTGCTACTAGAAATTTCGATGTATTATGGTATATAAACCGAAATTCTATACACCGCATGTTTAAGGGTCGATTTCCTGGGCTATGTTTAAAGTTAACAAAATGGTTCAACTGAATTTAGCGTATCACGTGCCCCTGTTTTGAATAACAGCGGAACGTGATTGGCTCTAATCAGTTGAACCAAATTGTTAACGTTGATCAGCGCCTAGGAAATCGGAGGTAAGTCTCTCAATAACTAAGATAGAAATCTACATTATCTACGTTGAAAAGTGGATCCTTAAATATTTTATATACCATTAAACATGCGATGTATTTTAACCCGAGCAACGCCGGGTTTCGCTGCTAGTAAATATGTCTAATTCCTTCTCGAAAATATCTCATTACATCAATCAAATTTCTCAATTTAATTTGAACATTTAAGAGTGCAACTTTTAGTCTATAAAAACAAACAAATCAAAATAAATAAATTGTTCCTTTCCTTATAGATCTCTACAGTACCCTCTGTTCTCCTCTAACATTTTTTCTATTTATTTATTTATTAAAATTGGTACTTTACCTTACTGAAGAAAGATCAAAATAACAAGTTCTATGGAACGTTATGTTCTTGGTCAGTAATTTATTGAAATTACCAGGCCTGGATCGCAATTTCGATCGATAAATCACAGATGACCAAATAATAGACGTATTTGAAATTATATTTTCCTTAAATAAAATAAAGTAACGACAACTTAAGGTTTTAATATAAAAAATGAACTGTGTTAATCACTGTTCTCACAAGCACGTCTAGTATAATAATATTGAAATTTTACATGTGTGTTCCAGCGGACAGGTTTGGCAACTGTTACCCTCATTCCCTAATGTGAGGGTCGGCAACTGACCATGGAAGGTCAAAAACCGAACCGTCAAAACTTTTTGAAAGCAATTTACTCGAATAAATTATTTAAAAAATATTTATCTGCAAATAAAAAGGTATGTTTGAGCTTTGAGTGCCTCTCTTGTCATTTTTTGAAGGAAGTAGTGTGTCTTTTTTTGGACATCGATAAAAAATTTTAAACACATCCGGACCCCACCTAAAATTACTTGTCGACCCCTGCCCTAGTGTATCACTTTTAAGGCATTATTACACGGAGCATCACTGTTGCCAACCTACTACAGGAAAAAATCCCACGCACAGGTCCAAAAAATCTCATATTTTCTCTAAAAATCCCTCCACGCGCAGGTCCAGAAAGTCCCATATTTTCTCTAAAAATCTCTCCAACTTATTACTATTATTATTTTTTAATTCGTTAATTTAATCGTTTATTCGAAGAAAAAATATACAATATTTTTGTAAACATGGACAACTTTTCGTGTCGATAGTATAATACCGATAATTTTATTGTATGTAGTTATCTCGTTTCCCAAAAATGCAGACAAAACCAGGCCTTGGGGGTTTAGATGTTTAGATGTTCGGATTTTGGAACAATACACCAATTCAAACATTTATTTTTATTAGTTTTAACATCTGTTTCTGATCTGTTGACTGGTCACTTTCAAGATGTTTGCTGAAGACCATACAATGATACGAAAACAATATACAATTCAAAAAAGTTCAAGACAATTTATCGTAGGGACTTGAGCAGGTACCTGCAGGCTGCACCAGTAGGCTTGAACGCACGTCGCCGTCGTATATCAACCGTTTCATCGTACAGCATTATACGATTATAGCTGACAAAATTTTACGTTTACAATTAGAAAAATGAGCGCCTTCATAATATAATATCAGGTCAACAAAATCAAACAAAACCAACCAGAAAATGGCAAATTACAAAAAATCCCGCAAAAATAAGGAAAAATCCCTTTATCCCTCGAGAACGTCAAAAATCCCTCGAATCGGGATAAATCCCTCGAATTGGCAACACTGCGGAGCATGTACTGCTGATCCAAGCTCTGTGTGACAGGGTCGGCGTGGTCTGGAGCGAGAAGATGCGTTCTTTGTCTTCTTTAAGCATAGCGTGGATAGGAGATCTATGAGCTGTGAGTTCTGAGCAAATCAAGACAGTCTTGGTATTGCTCTTGGTCTTGCTCTTACTGAAATACTTTTAATCTTGTTTCTGGCCGTCCTAGCCTAGCCTTGCTGATATGATCTCGGTTTTGGTCTTGCTCTTGGTCTTGCCTGTTTAGCATTGGCCTTTTCGTTTTTCTTCTTCTAAGCACAAATTTTTCTGTATACCGACACAATAATTGTCTTAAGTGCTGATTGTTTTTGTTAGACGTGCCAGCTTGTCATGACTTCTAATGAAGAAAATAGTGTCAATAGTTGTGAGAATTATG